TTCATGTTCTGATGAAACCAAAAGAACCACTTCATCTGGTGGAGTCCAACACCCACTGAAAATGTGTTTGACTTTGTGCCAAGAATACGGACACACTTTGGTTATACAAGGACCAGATGGCTCGTAGCAATGGCCACACAATAATAGATTGTTGTTCCATAATGGACACTTTATTTATGGCATTTGCAGTTAAAGGTAGGCTATAGTAAGCAATTGTAATCCAATACACTCTTTGTTAAATTCAGCGAATATTTCCTCAAACTTTGCAAGCTCTCGGATTTGTGTGTGCTCTGATTAAAAATCTGGTTTTCCTACATAGTCCTGGTTCTGTAAATAGAAAACAAAGACAGTGGTTTGGACCTTGACACACAACATTGATCCTGCCAAACTCCAGGCTGTGAAGAAGAAGAGATGGCTGAGAAAAAGCAAAAGATGAAAAGGTCACAATAGGCCCCAAACAGAAAGCGTTTTGCAAATTTTAAAATGCAGGTGCCTTCTCTGTAAAAATGATCAAGGTGGTTCAACTTAAAAAGTAAAGTTAAATTTTTGCCTTTAAGAAGCGTTGTTTAAACTCATGATGTTACATTATACACACACTATTTAATGATCATTTATTGTTTGAACTCAATACTGTGAGTTAAAACAATATATAATATAATATATATTACATTGTTCATAAAATTATACACCCTTTCAACTCACATTTTTAAGTTAAGATAACTAAATGTAAGACATTTCAAGTTAGTTTAACTTGGAAATGCAAGTTCACCTGCTGCCTTGAAAATGCAAGTTAACTCAACTTGATTGCCTTTGTTTCAACTCATTAATTCAAGTTCATTAAGTTAATATAACTACAGTGTTCTAGTTGTCGCAACGTTGTTTTTTTAGTTGAATGAACGTTTTATAATTTCAACTTCATACTTTAAGTTATTGTAACTCATAGTTTCAAGTTAAAACAACTTAACTAAATTAATAATACATTCCATTTCAAGTTAAGGGATTTAAATTCCACATTTGTTTCAGTTTACATGTATAAAGAGCCTTGCAGACAGACAACAGCACTGCTGCACTATTATCTTCAACAGCGTGCAACCCAGCAGGGCAGTTTGTTGGTGCATCGAGCAACTAGCCACTGAAGCTCCTGTGTACACCGCAGTCAAAGTTCAAAGTAGCAGCACATATCACCTCTTTTCTAAAAGGGCCTTAAGGCCGTTTTCAGGAACCCTTTCCACTGGTGGCACTAGTCTTGTTTACCACAGAAGTGTCTATATTTTGTTGAATATAGGACTTATCTGCAGTGTATAATTTGTAGGGATGAGCAAGTACACCACTATCTGTATCTGTACATGTTCAGCAAATTAAATTTTCTATATGCCAAATGAGTAAATGTAAATGCAAATGTATATCCGTACTCAGAATAGGCAGGGTTTAATCTGGAAGTGGGCGTAGCTAACTGGAAGTTATTTAAGCCTGAAATTGGTATCAGAACTTAGAAAACTATTTACACAACAGCCTCCGAACTGACCTTCAGAGCAATGTTTTTGATCACAAAAGTAATTGATTTTTTTTTTTAAGATTCCTATATTTATAGTTTATAACAAAACAGATATTGACACATTTTACTCTGATGATACACCTAAAAAGGATCTGTACCGGATACTTGTTTCAACCGAGTACTCGCTAAATCCTAATAATTAGTTGATTATGTATATGTTTCTCTCAAACTCAAAAGACGCAACACTCTCACCTTTTTTTTCAACTGATAACTTACATATACAAGTTCAATCAAAACGACGAAAGTCAACACAATGAATTAATGCAAGTTTAACTTTCTAAAACTCGTACAGTTGAGTTCAATATCCAAAACTTGTCACTTGTTGATATAACTGAGTTGACATGACTATATTGTTTTTTTCAGTGTTTTTGGTTGAATTTAGAAAAGAGCAGTGCAAAGCATTTTTTGTGTTGCTAGGCAACCACCAAATCAGCTGTCCTCACAGTCTAATCAAAGATTATAGCGCCAGTGCTCTGTAGCCTAATCTTTGGTTTGCTGCTAAGTAATAATTGTCATATTAGCAGAAACTTGATCAAAACTCACAAGTCTGTTTCTTTTGTTGCTAAAAACATCTGCTTTAAAAAAAGTAGACAAACGGGTGGCACTTGCTCTGGCATTTTTTCCATGTGGGTACATGAGACCTTCAGAAAGAGGAGACACCGCTGGAAGTACCAGCTGGTCCAGGAGCTTCTTCTTAAAGGGGACCTATTGAGCTTTTTCATATTTTCTGGCATTTCTATAATGTTAGAATGTCAGATGTTCATGTTAAACATGACCAAAGTTTCAAATTATGAGGTCAAAATAAGAACATGCAGCCCTATCCCTAAACACATTAGACGATGGCCAATCAGAAGACAGTGAGCTTTGGAGGGGCGGTCTCAACAGGAGCATCTACAGCTTGTGTAAGACAGAGGCTAAATGAAGTTCCAGTATAAGACAGAAAATTGTTTTTTTGAACTTTAAATTATGCAAAGCTGCCATAGAGGAGTCACAGAACTACAATACAGGGCTGGAAATGCAGTATAAAAGGTCTCCTTTAATGATGGATGGTTCAAGGCTTATTTTGGGATGAGTTGGGGACAGTTTGTTGCAGTCTCCAGACAATCCAAGCAACTGATGGCCCGTCTTCATTCATTGGATTGGACCATGGAAAAAAAGGCGAATGACGTCGGGTGCTTTTCTGAGTAGGATTTTTTTCAACTTTGTGCGCTCAGAGCACTCCTTCGAAAACGCACAGCAGGCACCTAAATGCAGGGCACCCAGAGTGCATAACGCTCAGTGCCAATAGAAAACAATTTTAAAAGGCATCTCTCACTGCAAAAAACACATTATGTCTGATTGGGGCCTAAACAGAGAAGAAAGTTATATGACCAGGCAAGGACAAAGGCATTTCGGCGCTGGAGAAACCTCAGAGATTTGAAATTTGGGGGGTGGTGCATCAGAGGGCGCACTGAAGGGAGAGGTGCATTTGTTTGGCTGTTGCTAACAGTACGTTTTTTGGCTGCTATGAAACGTTAGCTACATTTATAGGAAGTAATGTTAATTAGCCCCATGTCATTACTACCTACTTAACCTAAACTGTTGTACACCTCTGCCCTGTACACATACTGTAATCCTTATAGTTAAATTATATTTCAGTTTTCAGATTAGTCTGAAAAACTGGTTGGTTAAGAATCTTTTCTTAAGGGCAGAGGTGACCATGGAGGAGCTGAGGTTAGTAAAGCAAATTAGAGATGCTAATGAGGAGACTTTTCTTTAGGATTTTAATGTGCAAATGAAATGTTTCATTCAGAAGACAGGTGGTTCTCATGTTGCCTGTTTTTTAAGTTATTTGCTACAAATCAAAGTAAAAAAACAGTAAACCCAAAAGGCAAACATGAACAATCCCATCGCTACTGATTCTGAGGTCATATTATCAGGGGTTTTCTGCAGATATAAGGTTTAGGAGGTGAGACCCAAAAAGGCTTGGTGATGAATGTAAAATAACTGTGGAGAGCATCAGATGACTTGTCCCACACCAAATGGTTATCATTCCTCCCCTGTAGACTTCTTTAGAAAGTTTAGCTTTTTGGGTGGTGTTTATTTATAATGCTATTTATAGTGTTAAAATCACAAAGATTTTCCTCTGGGGGAGGATGCCCGCAGACCCCTCTACAGGCGTTTGGTTCGCAAACACATCACTTTTTTAATCCTTTCTCAGTTTGCATGTCTGCAGTTTACGTCATGAAATTGGCTGTAGCACCAGACCACACAGTGTGCTCTAGGTCTGCCTTTCAGTAGTAAATTAAATTTACTGCAGCACTAACAGCTGCATGTCCCTGTTCTTTCTTTTTCACATCACATCCTCATCAGGTATTGAGACTGATGGCACTACGTACAACAAAGGAGCTCATTAATCATTTAGAAGGTGGATGGGAAGAACCAAGGACATTTTTCAACTATTTCTTTCATTGTTAGATGCAGATTATATATAAAATATTTTATTCAGTGATTTTTACCATAGGCTCAAAACAGAAAACAAATCATTAGAGCGATGGCAGTACGTATAAAAAGGCTCTTCATACTTGCATTTATTAGTCCTATAAAGCAATGTAAAACACAAGCTACAAATGTACTGTTTGGTGCCGTTTAAAGCTGCACTGATATGTATGTTTCTGTTAACAATCAAACGGCTAATTTTACTATGTGTAATGTGGAAGGTGTCATAGTAATAAACCTACACAGTCAATCATCACCAACTCTGCAGTTGTAGTACAAAGCACATTTGGTGTTATGTGGGAGATATTGAACTGACCGGTTCCTGACTGAGACCATTTTTGAAGGCAGGAATGACACAATTAAAAAGAAAAGCTGAATTTACTCTTCTCTTTTTGAAATTCAGTGTTTCAATGTGTTTGAAACCAAATGTAATGGATATACAGCTATGTTGCTATTGCACTCTACTGGCTAGTGCTGTGGCTCTCAGTGTTGCCAGTTTGGGCTTTGGTGGAAAAAAGTCTTGGGTTGTTATTAAAAATCTGGTTTAGTTTTTGTTTTATTGTGGTGGGTTCTTACAGATATTATCAGATGCATTTATTGGTCAGTAAACACAACAATGTTTAGTTCCTTGAATGAAGTCTGTTGAATTAAATTTAAGGAAATTGTTCAAATCGACTGGAGATTCTGACTATGGCAAAAGCTGCTTATTCAACGGAAAATCAGAGACTGTTGTGCCCACATCTTTACAGAGACCTGCTCATCAACATCCCAGATCAAGCACTCAACGGGCAGACCTGTTCTGAACCGACAGAGCGCAAGACTCCAGCAGGATGAGAGGAGACCATCACTATCTTACTGCTGTTTACATTCTGTGTTACGATGAATTTTTTAACTACTCAGCTACTGATCAACATTCCCGTACAGGAGGTGGCGGTAAAGCACGTGGGAACTGGCTTGTCAACTGCCAATAAGTCCAAAGAAGAAGAAGCAGGGCAGGCAGAGTCGGGAGTCTGATGTGGGACTTCCTGGTCAGACAGTGCATTTCACAAGAATCAGAAAACGCTGTTTGTCAGACTTCACTTCACTAACCCAGTACACAGTCTAGTAATCCGGTTTCAACGTTATTTCGACTGTGGTATTTGGCAGCGGGCGACAGAGAGGGGGATTCATCAGCGTTACTCACAGTCAAAGTTAGCTAGTAAGCTAACGTTAGCGTTAGGGCTCTGCGGTTCTCTAGCCATGTCCGCTTCAGCTGGATGCTCTCCGGCGGGCCAGAGCTCGGGCCTTGGCCCCGGTATGTCCATGTTTCGCTGGCTAGAAGTGCTGGAGAAAGAGTTTGACAAGGCCTTCGTGGATGTGGATTTGCTGCTCGGAGAAATAGACCCAGATCAAGTCGATATAACGTACGAGGGTCGGCAGAAGATGACCAGCCTGAGCTCTTGTTTTGCTCAGCTCTGTCACAAAACCCAGACGGTGTTCCAGCTCAACCATAAACTAGAGGTTAGTACCTGTTGTATGGTTCACGCTCAATGTTACTTGTTAGTCGAGGTTGCATAGAGCTGTAAGCTCTCACACTCACACTCGCTCTATTATTATTTCGCCGATTTTTGTTCAATCTAAGTTACTAACGTTGCTGTGACGTTACCGTTTGTCTTACGAACATCAACGTCAATCGTCATGGTATGTGTGCTGTTACTATTATTGCTGATATTTAATGGTTAAATTTCTATTTGTATGACTTTTAAAATCAGTGGGATCCAATGGTATAACAAACTCAACTTTAAAAGCTTACTTATGATAGTAGTAGTGTACCCTTAACAAGAAGGCAGGAAAAAATTATAAAATCTTAAACAGAAATAAACTATTTAACATGTTTGAGTGCTGAGGATGAGTTTAAGAGTCTGACAGCTTGGGGGGGAAAAGCTGCTCTGCAGTCTGGTGGTGCGGCAGCAGAAACTTCTATATCTCTTCCCAGAAGGCAGCAGGGTGAACAGGCTGTGGCTGGGTGGGTACTGTCCTTTAGTATCCTTTGGGCTCTGCAGACACCTCACCGATATCACTGATTCTCAGGAGATGGTACCAATGATCTGAGCAGTTTTAATCACCCGCTGCAGAGCCCTCCGGTCCTGGGCCGTGCACATCCCATGTTAGTGATGTTTCCAGTCAGGATGCTTTCTATTGCTCCTCTGTAAACGACAGAGCTTCCTTAAGAAATCCAGCTGTTTCTGAGCTTTCTTCACCAGTGTGGAGATGTGAGATGACCATGTCAGGTCAGTGTCCAATGTAACATTTTTTCCCCCTGGCCCCCCGGGCCAGTAGATCAGAGTTTTACTGACCCCTTGCATATTTTTATTGGCCCATGGAAAAAAAGAGAAAAACAACACTGTTACTTTATTAATCATATAAAAACTACCAAGGTGAGAATAGGAATTACTTTAAACAATAGTGTAACTTTATTGAAAATGTACCATCTTTTTGAACCTCTTTTGTCAATATCACTGTCTGGGCTGCAAATGTTCTGTTAATCCATCCCCAGCTGTTGTTAGAAATCAGCACATTCACATCTAGTTCATCCCTTTAACAGCACTCTTTAATTCTAACCAAAGCTGCGTGAGAAGATTGATGTGTGTTGCTTAACGCTAGCCTACACAGCGCGATTGAGAGGCCAGCAAGCCGTTTGTGACTGAGAGAATCAATGGACCTGTACCGCGGGAACAGGTGAGCAGCCAGCCTCCTGTGTGAGTCCAGCGTGACTTTAGTCAGCGCTCGGTCGGTTCCGTTTGTCATTTGTTAAGTGATCGTACAACAAACGCACACACACTTTCATCCTAGAGGCGTCGTGGAGAATATTTCTCTTCATCCCAAACACATTTTCTGTTGTCCCAGGACAACAGGACGCCGTTAGTCTCGAGCCCTGGATGTGTGGTTTAATATTTTTATCCAGAATTTCTATCCATACTCCTGCTCACCCCCAAAGAGTTGGCCACAGACGCTGTTCCTTTAGGAGCTTTAAGGAGAGCACTATTTCTATACTAGTAGCAGTCCTTACAGTGTACCAACAGTGATCCCGAGGTGTCGAATGGTTTGTGGTAAGTACTGAATCCTCCTCCGCCACTTAAACTATGGCTAGTTCTGACAATCCATCCATGTGAAGTTGGTCTCCGTTTTGAGGACGGCTCCCCAGTTTCTATGGCACAACTACGGTCAAAATCTTTGCACACCCAATCAGTGTGCACATTGAAAAGGCAGTTAAGACAAGTGGTTTCCCATTGCAAGTTGCCGTCCATGTGGGAGTCCCCATAAAGGTAGTCCTGCTGGGACTGTACCGTATTCCCTGATGCCAGCACAGTGTTGTCTCTGACCTAGTATACCTGCCTCTGGTGTCTCACCTAACCCCACACTTTGATCCACCCATCCTCTCCAGGCTCAGCTGGTGGACCTGCGTTCTGAGCTGACTGAGGCTAAGGCTGAGCGGGCAGCGGTAGAAAGGGAAGTCCATGACCAACTCCTGCAACTTCATGCTCTCCAGCTGCAGCTTCATGCCAAGCAAGGCCAGGCTGAGGACTCTGACTCCATCAAAGACAGACTGGTAGGTTGGAGGTGGAGATGCTGTCCACAACCTTCAAACTGAATAAATTAGTTTTACAACAGGACAAGCTGTTTATAAAATGTTTTGGCCTCTTGCTTTTATTGGATATGGTCACACAGTCAAACCAAGGGCATTGTAGCTGTATACGCCTTTACCACCCGGTTACTGGACGCCCCAGGGCAAACAAGTGAAACTAATTATGAGCACAATAAATTTGACTCTGAAATTGAAGTTAGTTTGTGGCTTTTTATGGTCATCTCTTGCCTCCAGGAAAGGGTTAGTCATTTGGTTATACGTCTTGATGATGATGTTTTTGGCAACTTCCTGCTGCAACTTCCGGTCTGTGAGCCAGCATCATGGACTGAGCCTAGTCCCAGTGCATTGTTCCTTGCTTTTTAGAACATGGTTTCTGGATTATTTCATACTGTTGTCTTAAGAAACATTTAATCTCATCCAGAGGAGGGTATAAAGGTTACTGTTGCCGTCCCGTAAATAACCACACTTTTTTATTTTTGGTATTTTATAAAGAGTTTTAATAAGTCAACTGTTATATTTAGATGTTCTCCTGCTCACTGAAAATACCCCCTCATAGCACCCACAGTTACACCTTCTCAAATTCATCATTGCAGCTCCACAAATCCTGTTCTACAAAACCTTTACGCTCCCATTTGTACTACAGTAGCTGCAGTAATATGGTGCAAAACACTTATATGTGAATTCATGCAATGAGAGTTGCACACCTGTAGAATATTTCTCACAGACCTAAAGCTATATTTCAGTTTGCAGTTACATGTGTAAAGTGGCCGTTATGGGGTCAGTGTAGGCTGCTGTGGTGCTCTTGACTCCTGCTTTCCCATTGCTTCCACTGCTTTCAGTTAACTTTTTTTCAATACTCATGTGCACTTGTATTGAATTGTTAACTTACTCACAATCTCTGTTGCCTGAAATTAGAATTTCTCTAATCTATGACTTTTTTCTGTTCTTCCTCTGCCTCTTCTCCCCAAAAGCCTGCACCAACATTGGAAGAGATGGTAAGTTTGTGTATGGGTGTGTTTTAATGAAAATCAGATTTTTAAAGTTCTTTGTTTGGACTGAATATAGATTGTGTAGCTACAACTAGTGATTAGAGCTCTGGCGACTCATCATAATAATCAATGTCATCAATTATTGAAATACTTGCATATTATTATTATTATTTGCATAACGTGCATCGACTCGTCGCAATAAAGTGCTGCGTCTGGTCAAAGCAGAGATTCCCTCAGAAAACAAGCTGCAGCTGAAAAAACTTGATCATCATCTAAAGTTTGTTATTAGGAACATGTTTCTGTTAGTAGTGGCTGTTATTTATTTTCTAAATGTTTCTTCATTGCCCGCATGTTAAAAGTAATTCCTGCACCACTGCTGTCATGGATATGTAAGATGCATTGTCTAACGCTCAGCCATTTGACATTTTCTGTTCACTTTAATGGCCATGTAGTGTAGAGTAAGAAAATGGCTTAATCTAACGTTACAGGCTGTTACAATCTGTGACTGTACTTACTGCATATTAATCAGATGATTTATTTGTCACAATACAACAAGTTAAAGAGTGAAATTGAGTTTGTAACTCCCTTCTGCTACGTAGCAGACAATATACATTAATATAGAAGCAATTTAAAAAAACAGAAATAAACTATATTCACCAGAGCAGTGCTGAGGACAAATTAGAGTTTAGTATTAGAACGGTACTTTATTGTACTTTTATTGTCACATACACATACATGTAGCGAAATTCATCCTCTGCATTTAACCCATCCCTGAAGGGAGCAGTGGGCAGCCACTGTGCAGCGCCCGAGGACCAACTCCAGATCTATATCAGATTTAAAAGTCTATTAGCTTGGGGGGAAAACTGTGATGAAATAATTCCATGTCATAACCATTTAAAAGTATTTGTAACGGGTTCCTATGGCGTACAGTGTTTAAAAGAATCGGTGTCACAGCAATCCTTTTGAATTTGAGGTCCAGATAGGGGTCTATTATTATTATTGATATCCTCACACAGCAGTAACTAGGAAATTAGAATAAATATAAAAATTTGCTTTGTTTCTGTTTTTCTGGATGATTAAATAAAATATTGAAATATTGAGACAAGTTTTGATATTTGTTATGAATAAATGAATTGTTAGATTAATGATTGATAAAAAAGCTGAACACACCGAACTGTCGAACGAACTGCCTGTCGGACAGCAAGCCAGCTTACAATGTGAACTCTCTGGTAAGATACAGTAGTGTTGCCAATTTTATACTTAGCCCGCTGTTAGTAACCAGTAATGTTAGCTAAGATAATTGTCCATTTATGGTGGCAGCAACCTGAATGTAATGTAGTTTAACGTCAACAGGACAAAATGTTTCAGCATCAGTGTCGTTTCCATCACATTTTGAAAGCATTTGTTAAAAGAATGGCTGAATAATGGCTTGTAACAAGAAATGTTAAATAACAAATGACAAGCAATGAGGAAGGTTTATTTGCACAACAAGTCAAGTTTACCGTTCTTTCCCTGTGAACCTGACAAAAGAGGAAGGAAGACTAAATCATGCCTGCATGTGTGCTGACTCAGCAGGGATGATATTACGAAAGAAAAGTTGATCTACAGGAGAAACGCATGTGAAAGCAGCACAGAATGACTGAGAGCTGCTCTGCATTACATTCTGTAATATCTTTAGATTTTGAATTGTCACCTGCCACCTGAATTTTGTGTTTCCCTTTACATAAATAACAATATTTCCACCATAAATTGATGCATGACAGGGAGAAATTGGTGCAGAATTTGAAAGAAAGTGTATCGTCACATCCCTAATCTGAGCCCTTATGTCCCCGCCACTTTTCAAAACAAAGTGATGCGCTTGCGTGTCGGTATCTTTTCTCTTTAGCCAAATGCACCTTATGTAAGCTTAAAACAGACCCCTCTTACACTGTCTCCGTGTGTTTCTCTGCTTGCGTATTCTTCTCACCTTTTTTACTCCTGACCAGTTTGCATGCCTGTGATTTACCAGTCTAATACCTTCCAAACTGCAGTTGTGGTCAGTAGCTCTGGTATGGACTGAAAGGCTGAAATCGTGGCCACAAGCAGCAGAAAATGGATAGATCTAGCTCCTGTTTTCTTTGAACCCAGCATTTTAAACCACATAATGATTATAATTAAAATTGTTACCAAAGTTTATGTGTCAGCTACTTCATGTATACCTAATCACCATAAAATCTCGCTGATTGACCTGAAATTGGAAAGAAAGATTTTTTGGTAATTTAATGTACAGATTTTTGCTCCAGCACAAGTAAACATTTGACAATTCAGCCTTTCAGCCATGTCTAGTACCACCATCAGACCTGGATTTTTTCCCCAAGGAGATTTACCAGTGTACACCTGCATATTCTGCCCATAGCCGGACTGTGAATCACATGCTGCCCATATTTTGATATCGTACTTGAGCGGTCTGTTTGGTATATATTGTCTGCTGAACTCACTTGTCCCACACATTCAGTTTTGCTGCGAGTTTGTCACGCACTCGTCACCCTTGCCTTGTTTATCCGTCTTCAAAGCATGTGACATGGGAGGAGCAAGGAATGTCTTTAGAGACATGGTGCCTGGAAATATTGCCTTTTCAGTGCCACCATTACAGAGGCTTGCTGTTTCGCCTTTTGACTTCCTTCACTCCTGGCAAAATGAGCAAGCCATTTGTAGGCAAATGCTGATTTATGTATTGGACATGGCTGACAGTGTATCTGGTGTGGCAGGGAACCATTTTGATGACATAAACAGCGCTAACCAAAACAAATGTGTGTAAAATGTTGATATTTCTTACACGTATATGTTTTATACAGCTAAAACAGCCTGTCACAGATGCGTACAAAATGTGTACAGGACATTTATGTTTACCCAGTTGTTGTTGTTGTTGTTGTTGTTGTTGTTGTTGTAGATTAAGAAACTTCATCAAATATGAAGAGATAAATAAATATTTAGAAACGTTAAACATTGAGCAGATAGATTTAGTTTTATGTCCAGAGACGTCTGCTGACTGAGACTTCGGGTCAAAAATAGTGACTTTCTGTAATAAAAATAAAGTAATTAATCGTGTTTGATTTTAGTAATTTAAGACTTTGCGGTTCACAGTTTTTAACATGAATGTTTTTTTTTAGCAATGACTATGCCTTTGGTGTGAGAAACCCGGGTTCAATCCCCCACTGTGACACACCCACCATTGTGTCCCTGAGCAAGACACTTAACCACTAGTTGCTCCAGAGGTGTGTGACCTCTGACATGTATAGCAGTTGTAAGTCGCTTTGGATAAAAGTGTCAGATAAATGAATAAATGTAAATGTAAGCAGTTCCAGGAAATAATCTCTGAAGACACCCACCAGTTAGCTGAATTATCAGTAGGTCAATTGACTACATGTAATGTAAAGGGGGTCACTAGTAGTGACAAGCCAACAGAGAACCTTTCTGAGAACAGGGGCTTAATACTGGAAAATGATATCTTCGTATTTACTGGGAGTTCTGGCCACGTCCATCCTTTTCCCGGCAACAGTATCTGGGAGCCCAGGATGTGATCATGTGTTGAAGACAACAGTGTTGAGATCTGGTAGGGGCAGGGTTAGTTATTAACCAAATATCAAAGATATCTTAGAAACAATAATAAAGTCATTAATATTACAAAATGAATTAGGATTAGCAACAGTAACTAAGGGGGCGTGGCCTAGTGAAGGGTCAATTGATAAAGATAATCTGTTAACATGTTTATTTTTGGAAGCTTTCTTACTTTTTTCACACCGGCCTAAACTTATACATAGGGCTGGGCAATAAAACAATAATGATAATTATCACAATATAATTTTCCTCAATAACAAGATAACAAATGTTCAATATATCGTCAATAAATGTTTGATTTAATTCATTACGAACAAATTAGCACCGTATTTTTCTATTAAGATATTTATTTTATTGAGGAAAAAGATTTGATCATATTTGTATTGAATGTTCTACCTCCTACCTTGTTGTGTTCTGGCCATAAAGAATATATGAAAGAAATAATGATGATGAAACATTTATCCTGATAATTATCGATATCAAAAGGTATGAAATTTTTATTGTGATAACATTTTTGGCCATATCGCCCACCCCTACTTTTACAGGTGCATCTCAAACAATCAGAATATGGTGGAAAAGTTTATTTTCTAACATAATTTAATTTAAAAAAGTTTTCATATATTCTAGATTCATTACACATAAAGTGAAATAGAATATTATAGAATAAATCTTGATGATTATGGTTTACAGCTCATGGAAATCAAAACTCTAGTATCTCAAATGTGTTTTAGAATAAAAAAAATGTATAATACAGAAATGTCGACCTGAGAAGAGCTGCAATCAACTAATTAACTCAAAACACCTGTAAAGGTTTCCTGAGCATTTAATCTCTGTCTGGTTCTGATGCTCAAAATGAACTTTTCCATGATATGATCTCTTTTAGATGCACCTGTATATTAATGAACTCATGTGACAACCACCTCTGCACTGGTACTGTCAGAGATTTACAGGGTTTTCGCTCATCCTGCTTAAAGTGTGTTTGTGTGTGTTGCATGTGTGGTGTTCACATGTGATGTGCTTTTTCTAGGAACAGGAGCTCGAGGCCAGAAAGAAGGAGAAATTAGCAGAGGCGAGGCTGGACGCAGAAGTGAGACTATATAAGAAAGAAAATGAGGCCCTTCGCAGACACATGGCTGTGCTGCAGGCCGAAGTGTACGGAGCCAGACTGGCTGCCAAATACTTGGACAAGGAACTGGCTGGCAGGTAAGGGCAGCCCCTTACCAGAGCTCACAACACATTTTAGGTTAAGGTTGATGGTTTGCAAAGAAGATATTATGTTAGAATGTTACAACTGATGATAATATTAACAAATAATATAATAACCAGTGGTGAAATTACGTACACACGTGCATGTGTACTCGCTTTCTGAACAACAAACACAAAACTCCAGCTCAGCTAATAGTAGGATTCCATTTCATCATAGTCCAACTGCCGAGTGTTAATTACCCTCTTCATCATCTATCAAGGGATATGGTGTAATTGGGTGTTATTTCTCATAATTCTATGTAAGGTGTATAGGTGAAAATGCACCACAGATGTTTTTAAATGACAAATGAATGCTAAAAAACAGGACACCAGCACATAACTACATAAAGTACATGTGAACAGACCGGTCCGGAAACCTCCCAGCCTATTTGAAGCAAAACAGTTGTTATTCAGGTACACCTTATTGAATAATGGGAATACACCTCAACTGTCCCTGGTAGGTGAAGGGGGTTCTTGTTCTGTTTGAAACTGTTTTCTTGGATGCAAAACAAAAACAGGATGGACTGCCTGAAATTTGAATTGACAGCAAACTCTTTTGCTTTTCTCTCCCAGGGTGCAGCAGATCCAGTTACTGGGCCGTGACATGAAAGGGCCAGCACACGACAAGCTGTGGAACCAACTGGAGGCAGAGATTCACCTTCACCGCCATAAGACTGTCATCCGAGCATGTAGAGGTCGTAATGATCCTAAGAAACCCCTTCCATCTCCTGTGGGGCATGTGAGTGCAGACTTACATAAAACAGTTGATATATTTTATTTGTGTTTCCAAAGTTGAATGTGTTAATGTAATTACAGGACCCAGACATGTTGAAGAAAACCCAGGGAGTGGGCCCAATCAGAAAGGTCGTCCTAGTCAAAGATGATCACGAGGGCCTGGGAATCTCCATTACAGTAAGAAGTCACAGCTGTTTTTTATTTGTTGTTTTTCTTCAAGTGGCTGCGACAGCCTCTTGAAATTGCATCTGTAGCATTAGTGCCACTTAAAAAAGGCAGCACCAAAAATACACTGCTCCAAAAAATAAAGGGAACACTTAAACAACACAATGTAACTCCAAGTCAGTCACACTCCTGTGAAATCAAACTGTCCACGTAGGAAGCAACACTGATTGACAATCAATTTCACATGCTGTTGTGCAAATGGAATAGACAACAGGTGGAAATTATAGGCAATTAGCAAGACCCCCCCAATAAAGGAGTGGTTCTGCAGGTGGTGACCACAGACCACTTCTCAGTTCCTATGCTTCCTGGCTGATGTTTTGGTCACTTTTGAATGCTGGCGGTGCTTCCACTCTAGTGGTAGCATGAGACGGAGTCTACAACCCACACAAGTGGCTCAGGTAGTGCAGCTCATCCAGGATGGCACATCAATGCGAGCTGTGGCAAGAAGGTGTGCTGTGTCTGTCAGCGTAGTGTCCTGCAAGAGGAAGGCATTGATGCTATGGACCGGCCCGCCCGTTCCCCAGACCTGAATCCAATGGACCACATCTGGGACATCATGTCTCGCTCCATCCACCAACGCCACGTTGCACCACAGACTGTCCAGGAGTTGGCGTACGCTTTAGTCCAGGTCTGGGAGGAGATCCCTCAGGAGACCATCCGCCACCTCATCAGGAGCATGCCCAGGCGTTGTAGGCAGGTCATACAGGCACGTGGAGGCCACACACACTACTGAGCCTCATTTTGACTTGTTTTAAGGACATTACATCAAAGGTGGATTGGCCTGTAGTGTGGTTTTCCACTCTGATTTTGGGTGTGACTCCAAATCCAGACCTCCATGGGTTGATAAATTTGATTTCCATTGATAAATTTTGTGTGATTTTGTTGTCAGCACATTCAACTATGTAAAGAAAGGAGTATTTAATGAGATTATTTCATTCATTCAGATCTAGGATGTGTTATTTTAGTGTTCCCTTTATTTTTTTGAGCACTGTATGTAGAATAGGCCTAAATATAAATTGGTACAAAATGAAGTAAAGGGATTACGGGAAAAAAATGTATTTGTACTAAATGATAGAATTGAACTTGCATTAGATTCAGTTTACCACCTTTAGAGAAGGGAAAATGATTAAGTCTCAGTTCTGGAGGTTGATACTAACTTCTCGACTCGTAAATAGTAACTGGTACATTTCATACACACACATAATTGGATGAATAAATACAATGATGAATGAGTGCAATGAACACAGCGATAGATGATTAATAAATGAATCAATGAAGGAATGCCTCACCTCCAACCGAGAGAGAGAAGCCACCGCTAGCTGCTAAGCTAAAGTACTGTAGCTAGCTAAACTGAATAGCATGTAAACAATGAGAGTTGCTAAAAGAAGGAGAGAGCTATGAGAGTTTGAGCAGTACTGTGTAAGTTTGAATGTATAGCGGATAATAAGCCGCCGTAATGAAAAATCTAACTAAATTAACTGGGTTAAGCTTGACGACAACATTGCTCTAAAAGTTGCTCCGTGTATCATCAGCTTAACACTAAAATGATCTCTGATAGTTCTCTCCATCAGTTGATCACAGAAAAAATACTTACATGCATTTGGAATGTGCACTACAAAGCCAAATTTGGTGCGAGTGATAGTAAACATAAGCCGAAGAATTGGAGGTAAGGTAGTTCTGTTGGCTGATCAACACATCTCTCTCATTACTGCCAAATAAGTTGAGTTAACTCCTGCATGTCTGTTCCCCTCAGGGTGGGAAGGAGCACGGTGTTCCCATTCTAATTTCAGAGATCCATCCAGGGCAGCCCGCAGACAGATGTGGGGGTCTGCATGTCGGAGATGCCATCCTTGCCGTCAACAGCATCAATCTGCGAGATGCCAAACACAAGGAGGCTGTCACCATTCTGTCCCAGCAGGTAATACAGACGTGCAAACACCACGTTGTTTCTCTGTTTCTCTCAAAGTGCTCATTCCGGGTGTCTGTGTCAGCGAGGACAGATAGAGTTTGAGGTGGTGTATGTGGCTCCAGAGGTGGACAGCGATGATGAGAATGTGGAGTATGAAGATGACAGTGGTCATCACTACCAACTCTACCTGGATGAACTGGACGATGACAGCACAGCGCCGCCCTGCAACAGCTCTGCATCACTGCAAGGTAGGTTTTCAAAAGTGGTTTTGACTACTAACCTTATGCTTACACACCCATGAAAGGTCTTTCAGAATGCTTACATGTATGAAATGTAAATGTTCTGATTTGGAAATCTGCTCCAACATACATTGTTTTGCCGGAGTTTGTGTTTGCCAAGTCTTTATAACAGAGATGGCAAGTGCAAAGTTGGTATGACTTACTGTCAGAATGGCCACAATTATGAGGGGATTTTCTATTAAGACAGTAACCGTGCTGTTGATGCTCCTCCTGATAGGCTCCTCGGTTTTTCTGTTTCTTACTGCTTTTCTTCTTTGTCGGTCCTCAGATATTCCTGGTTTAAGACTTTCATTAATATGGAATTTTTTTAGTCTTTGTGTATTTAAAATTAGATTTACACTGCAAAGTCAGGTTAGATTGACTTACCTCCAGCTCCTCCAGCAAATTCTGAAATTTCAATAAAGCCCCCCCCCCCCCCCCCCCCCCAAAAAAAGGATAAAGACAAGTTTCACTGGATTCTGGCATTTAAGGAATAGGCAGAGAATAATTGGTCAGGTGAGCCTTTTACTGTTTTAATTTTTTTGACTTAAAATCAAAATAGACTTGTATTCTTCCTGCTTTAGCATTAGAGTAGTAGATATTCATACTTCAAAAAAGGGGCACTTGACCATGAATTGTTTTATGTTACTTCTATTTTATAACATTTCAGTAGGATTTTCCAATAGTTTTATGATTGGAAAAAGACTGACATCCTTTATTTCTTCACAGGAAGCCTGGTTTGAGTTAAATGTTGAATGTGAATCTTGAACGATTCCACAATATTTGTAGGACAATGATGTCTGGTTGATATAGAACAATATTACTTATTATACATCTGAATCTGTGTCCACCCTGCAGCTCTGGAGAAGATGTCACTGAGCAATGGACCAGAGAATGAACGAGATACTGGGGTCTCCAGTGAGACACCTTCAGAGGAAACCCCTTCAAAGCCTCCTGAGACAGACTGCTCCTCCTAGAGGCTCACAGCCAAACCATCGGTATTTAGAGAGATAAGCGGATGTGTGGGACAATCCCTCACAAAGAACTGAATCAAAGAATTCTAGGATATGCCTAGGGACAAAGGGAAATGAACAGAAACAGTCTGATTTCCCTTTTTCCTCTTGGTGTTGTGGGATTTGGGGATCTAGCCTGGGCATGTGGCAATGAGGGGTAACTTGGGTTGAAATACACATTTGAAGAAGCCAGAGGTGTAATATATGTAGAGGAGGGAGTGATACTGAATAATGTGTGATTTGTTTTGGAATATTTTATTAAGATATTAATGGGAATTGCATCTATATATGAGAAAACAATTGAAGGAAGTAGATGTCTGTAACTGTCATGAAGGCACAGTGATCTCAGGAGAAGAGGTTACTCATTGTTAAAAATGTCTTTCAGGGGCCACTTTTGGAGAAAACGTGTCCAGTGTTTTGCTTCTGTTTGTATAGTTATTCATCTGGTCTTGTCTCAAAAAGGAAACGAATGAATGATTGTTTACAAAAAGAGAATAAACCTGTCAACAACCTTCTCAGATGTTAGTGATCATTGTAGCGAGCGAGGCCATTCATGGGCTTTCACATGAGTTGTTAAAAAATATCAAATAGAAAAACCCTATGAAATAAATATAAAATGGAAAAATGCTGTAAAATCTTGCTTGTTCATCACCAATACACCATTTTACTGGAGATGTCCATGCTGAACAGTGTAAAAGTACTTTGAATAGCTGCTTCTGGATCGACAGTTTGAAATGCTGAATCTTTCTCTTAATTATAAATCTAGTACATTTTTCATCCAAAAATCATTAATTTATCCATCAGAGAAAACTAACAGAAGGCTTTCAGGTCATGTAATTTACCCTCTGGTGACTGCTCTTTCTCTTTGAAACAGACAGCCGTATCTGCGTCCCACTCGAGGGGTTTTTCTTCTTTGAAGTCTGCATTTCAATGCAGCATGTGATCTTTTTTCTCTAAAGAGAACACCTCATTAGTGTCCCAAATCCCACTTATTAATGGTATGTTTGGATGTCTTTGTCAAGTCATAAAGACCTCTAGAGCCAGAATTTGGAAAACTATGGCTGAAGGGGAACTTATTTTTATTATTTAGTTTTTTCATGTTATAACATCTAATGCCTGGCATTGCAAATACTCTCCCAAGTCCTTGAGGACATTGTAATTCTTTAGTGACTGTACTTGTTGTACTAGAGTATGACCTCAGAAATCTGTCCTGGTACTTATAATGTGGTGACTACAGGGTAAATGTTCCACTGATCTGTTATCTTCCTTAGATTTTTAACCCTGTTCCATCACAAACATATTTTGGCATGTCACTGGGTGGGCACTAACACTTGTATGATATAAAATTATTGAAATATCATTCTTAATATTGGGGTCAGGTCTTAACTGTGTATTACTGTTAAGCTACTGAGTTCATGAAAAGTGCTATACAAATTCAATTTATTATTATTATTATTACTGTATACTGTTATTGTTTTTTATTGTGTCACATTACATTCTGCTGTAATGTATTTTGTCAGTAACAGCACACAGGATAATGCAGTAAAAATCCACTAACTGGGTACAGAGTTGAACCCACCCCTCTCTGACACAGGCCTCACAATGTACTGTTTGATGCAGAGATACTCAGTTGAATACCTTGTTGTGCCCAGCGCTTGTATCTGTTGTCAGCACTGCTACCTGCCAGTGTTCTGGCCCAAAGGAACACGAGTAAGTAGAACCCAACACCATGACTCTGTGAGGCTGCCTCCATCCACAGAGGAACTGTGGGGAGTTCTCCAAGGTGTTTGGGCCAACCTGCCTGCTGAGTTTCTTCAAAAACTTTGTGTACCTAGAAGAATTGAGGGCAAACCACACCAAATATTGATTAGATTCAGATTTTCTTCTTTCTTTACTTCTGTTCATTTACTTTGTATATTAATTGATAAAACAATCTGTTAACATGCCTATTTTTGAAAGCATTCTTTACAGCATTTCTACAACAGCCTAAAACGTTTGCACAGTACTGCGCATTATAAACATGATGTGCATCATCTAGATTTATTTAGCCTTAAAAAAAAGTTTAGTTGCAATTTGTTTTATTTGTACCGTTTGCTTTTTTGCAGTGTCCCTAACCTTTGAGTTTAGGAGATAAATTATAATTCTAAGTAGACTTGCAAGCAAGCATGACAGGGCACCACAGTGCAACTTAGACCTGGAGGCTAATTGATCCAAGGTGATCTGAAAAGGGCTTTAACAGGCAGTTTAGCAAACCGGCACAATCCGATACCAGTGCACACTGCCAGGATGTGATTCACCCAGGAAAGATATTTAACAATATCAAATCACATTTATTTTAAACAGGTTCACAATGAAAGATATTAAAAATAATAAATGTTGAAAATCCTAGATTTAAATTAGCAAATGATACAAAGTTTCCTTTCAGTATCTCTTTTATACTTTATTATTAAATCTTTAATCAGGCAGTCTCACTGAGATTAAGATCTCATTTCCATAGGGGCCTGTGCTACTAGGCAAGTTCAACATATCCAGGATATGATTTCTGCTAAGAAGAGATGTTTGGATATTGGGCGGTAATCGTTAAGATGGAAGATATTGTGTAAGGGTGTTACTGAGGTGCTTTTTCATGAAGCTTGAATCATGCCCGTTAAAAAAGTCTGGTTCAAGAGATGTGTGAAATGAGGACAGATTAGAGGGACACTTAGATGATCTGCAACAGTGCTTTTACAAGCTTTTAACCTAAGCAGAGCTTTATAGACATCTGCACTGTTGACCAGATCAAAGACAATTTCCAGACAGAAGAAGCTGAGGCGTTAGGTACTCCCTCTGCTGGACAGATAGGGATAAGGTCTACAGTAGAATCAGCAGCCAAAAAAAAAAAAAAGACCAGGGGAGAGGAAATGGTGATTAAGAGCTTCAACATTAGAAGACCCACCAGTAATATGACTAGATACCGGTTTGATTTGAAGTGGGAGGTGTGACCATGATGAGTTCTTAAGAGATGCTTTGGTGTTCCGTAATTTAGTGGAACTATCACAGGCAGAGAGAGCTGACTGATAATAATTTGATTTAGCCTTCCTAATCATGCTGGTGCAGATGTTTCTTTGTTGCCTGAAGGTTAAGCAGTCCTCAAGGGTGCACTGCATCCAGCCTTTGTCCGTTGTGGATCTCATTTGTGAGTTGTGGGGAGAAGCCTGAATCAGTTTTGTCTGTCAGCAACAACATTACAAGACTGTGCAACGTTTTTCCTGTGCCATGATAGAATCAGAAATAGAGAGCATTTGATCAGTGTCAGAAAATGACATCTCATTTAAAAAATCCTGAAGATTAAATTCTTATAACTTTTTTGTGTTGATAATTTGAAACTGAGATTTAGGTGTCTCTGACACAGGTGACTGGACAGTGATTACTAACATCAAGGGCAAAAACTCAAGTTGTGTGGTCTGAACTTTGAACTGTGTACATTACAATCATTTTTTCTTGCTCATATTGTGAATTGTTGCACATTCGTTGTTAATTGTCCTGTATATTTTTTTGCATCTTTGTATTACTATTAAAGTATTATTGTATTATTGTTTATATGTGCACATTATTAATCTCTTTACATTTTCTTTAGGTTCATGTGTACCAATGTAAGCACTAATACATAGCCTACCAAGGCAAATTCCTCATATGTGAAAATGTACCTGGCAATAAACCTCACTAAATGCTATATGTTGGTGGATGGGTTGAAGCAGTGCCAGTAGCAAATCCAAACGCTGCTTCAACAGCCATGTTTTTGACTAGGGAAGTGTTTCTTAGATTTGGACTCCCAGATAAGATCAGTTCTGACACTGATCCAGCAATTCATGGCGGCGTAATGGCAAATATTGCAAAAGCACTGGGGATCAAGCGCAGCTTAGGTTGTGTATCATCCACAGTTACAGGGAATGGTTGAAAGAGCTAATTGCAGTTTGAAGGCCAAGATAGAAAAATGCATGTGGATGGAAGAATGAAATGGGTAGAAAGCCCTACCTTTGGCACTAATGAGCATGAAAAAACAAACTAACCGTTGCACGCTTACAGTTTGAATGAGAACTGTCAAGTTATGTAAAGCACTTAACTGATATACATAAAGCTATTTCCCATCAGGTGAAATGTGCCACAAAGAGGAGGACTAGTGAGATTACTAAAGAAAATGACTTGGAATGAGCCCAAAAGGGAGCGACCATACAATGTGGTCTTAAAGGTTCAGTGTGTAAGTTTTAGTGACATCTAGTGGTGAGGGTTGCGAATTACACCCCCCCTCCCCTACCCTAGCAATTAGTATAACTAAGGTGCCGGAGACAGGACAAAGATGTCATCTATGAGATAGCAGAAAGTTGCTAGTCAAGAAATCAGGTTTCTTTAGATAGATATATTAAGAAATTATATTTACTTAATTATTCAGTAAAACTGTATGTTGTTTTTAAATATTATTATTACTTACTGTTCATTAATAAACAACAGCCACATCAAGAAATGAAGTGCTACATGATGTCTCATACTCCTGTAATGCAGTATTTTACATCTTAGGAGGGTTGGCTCATCTTGACTAACATACCAAAGAAAATGAAGAACATCTCAAACACTATCACATCTAGTGCATCCAGTATGACCACTGACAGACAGGACAATGTGAGCCTCACTGTTTCTGCACCACAGCCCATTATAAACCACATAAGTTTACAAAGGCATTCTCAGGTGAGGATCAAGGCTCCTGTCACTTTGCTTAAGTAGATAAGCATGCAAATCTTACCAAAATGTCCTTTTTATTTTTTTAAATACAACAGAAACACAAAGTAGTACTGACAGCCATAATTTCAGCTTGTGGTAAAATGGTGAAATGTTTTTAACGGGCATTTAGCATGTGAAAGTACACATTGTGGCGAAGCAATATCCAATAATATTATAATGCAAATTCGGAAAGTATTTATTATTGGTCACTTGATAGGCACACGGTCTTATTATATATCACCATTAGCAGTAAAAAGAAATACATGTTTTCCACCAGGGCAGTAAAATGTGAAGTTTAGATGCTGATCTGAGCATCCCTGCTGTTGCCGTCTCATTACCAATAATATTCATCAGCTGTTTGTCTCAGGAAGGTAACGGCCATTTCTGTCCACGTAACAAAGCCATAACAGAGCGCTGGAGAGAGAGATTAACTACATAAAACTAATCCAACAACATATTTTTTCTACCAGCGCAGTAAAGGTTTAGCTGTCTGATATGAGCTTCCAGCTGTAAGCTACCGTTTTATTATTTTAATTACTGATCAGCTGATTGTCTCACTGAACTGGCAAAGCCAACCCACAGGCTGGAGAATAAGAAGGCGACATGAAATTAATGCAACTACATATTTCACACCACTGACAGGGGAAACACCTCACGTCTGTCGGTGATTATGGCCAGTTTCTAGCTAAAGCTATCAAACAGTAGTTTTCATTTGCATCGCTAAAGTCTGACAAATTTAAGTTTACCTGTCCAGCAGAAAATA